TATTACAAAATGAATTAACTATGCCAAAGGAATGATCGGACAGTCGAAACCCAGCCTTAGAAAATTTTCTAGGATTTTGAGATTTTCAAGCACCTGCTCTCTGATGTCGCAATTGCGACATAATCTTCGCAATTGCGAAGTTATCAGCAACCGCAATTGCGAAAAAATTTTCACAAATGCGAAGGTTATAGAATACTGATATGTTCGCAATTGCGATGAAACCTTCGCAATTGCAAAGTTGGCTGGAATTGGGATTTTTCGCAATTGCGACCACCTCTTCGCAAATACGAAGAGGCTATCACAATTGCGATATTGTCATCCCCAGCCTCTCCTTTCTTAGAGAACAGTTCTAAGCCCTAAAATATTTGAATACAAGCTATTCCTAATTAACCCAATCATCTTTTAAACATAACATCATGCAATAGACTTCGTAGACAACCATGAATCAACAAAAATATCAATGATTCGGCCAAGAATCTCATTCGGGCCTTCCATCGATCACATATTAAGCCCAAAAATTCACTTCTATTTTACAAAGCCCTAGGTACTCAGACTTCTCCATTTTTTTAGCAAAGAACAAAACTCACACTCTCAACCAACCTCACCCAGAAATCAACATACGATTTGGACAATTTTTAAACAATTTCGGGCAAAGGAATGTTACCCATTTAAACCCTAGGTTTTCAGAAAAAATTTAGAGAAGAAGAAGGAGAAGCAATTAAGCTTTCATACCTGGATTCTTGCACTTAGGAGTAAGAGACAATGGATTTTTACATCTAGGATCATGAGGGAGATAGAGGTTTGAGAGCCCTAGAAGTTTTCTTAACTTTTGTTCAAAATGGGAGAAGTAACCTGTTAAGACTCTCTGATGTCGCAATTGCGACACGACCTTCACAATTTCAAAGATTAATGAATCCTGTAGTTATCACAATTGCGACCAAAACTTGGGATTTGTGATGGGTCAGGTTCGTAAATGCGAACCTAAGTTCGCAAATGCGAAGACTGTGCCCCTACAATTTTCACCAACTACTATTTTTGGCTGCTCGATCACCCCGACCTGCTCAAATCAACTTCAAAATTTTTGAAACGTGGAAGATTGGTTAGAAACAATATAATAAGCTATTATAAAAAAGAAAATTTCAAAAATGACTAATAATTTCGAAAAACGATGGGTTGCCTCCCACCAATCGCCGCATTTAATGTCGTGGCACGATGCAAATCAACTTTACCACTTTTCTCTCCACTTGGACCATATCAATTGGTCACCCAACTTGGAATCAAGCTTGTGACCACAAGCGGTGGGGGTGGTAAGTAGATGATCAATCCAAGCCTCAATTTCTTCATTTTGCACTTCTTGGCTTTCATGTGAGGAATGTCATTTGGCCTTCTTGTTTCTTCAAATTGTAAGATGTATGGTTTTTGCATTTCCTTATCGCAATCCCTCATTAACTCGTGTAGTTCAATTCTCATATCACCACACAATTTCAATATTGAAAAATGCTTGGAATGTGAATCAACCCTCCAAATTGCATTTCTTCTCGGATTTTAATATACTCTTTTCCCCCGGACTAGAGTCAATCTAAACCAAATTTTCATTTACACCGGTTGACTCTAATTCCATATTTTTCTTGGCATCACTAACACTCATGAAGTCGGTTGGTGGATGTTCAATTCTTGATTCCTCAAAGTAGAGCTCACTTTCTTCCTTGAAATTGGACTCTTCTTGACTTCCTTCCACACTCTCAAGTTGGTGGGCATAGTGAGCCTTAACCAATATTTTCATTTGATCTTCCAAAGTGCGGATATGTTCATCATTGTGAGTCAAGCCTTGTTTCAAGTCCTCGAGTGCAAAGTTGTGCTTCTCCTCATTTGCAAGAATGGTCTCCAACATAAGCATCATCTTCTCATTTTTAGCATATGAGAGTTCTTCTTGGTTTTGATCAAGTGCCAAGGAATGATTTTCGGCTTCCACATCTAAGAAAAATTCTTGGCTATCATTAACTTCTGAGGTTTTTGGACCTCTAAAGCTTCAAGCATTTCTCCCATTTGTGAGTTCAACCTTTCAAGTGCCAAGTCATTTTGGAGACTATTTTCCAAAATCTCCTCCAAGGCACTTTGTTTGTTGTTTCCTCCTTGAATTAGGCATTCTAACATGAGCTTGAACTCTCCATTTTGACCATGCTCAACTTCTTCCATTTCCATAGCCCTATCATTTTCATCACAAAAAGTAGAATCATCATAGCAGGGGCTTGGAAGGGAAGGACAATTAAGCACAATACTCCCAATGACCATTTTGACGCCACACTTATCAAAAATACTCCACTCATGGGTTTGAGATTGTTCGCACAATCCTTCCCCTGGAGAATCTAAACAATTTTGCCATGAGTGTGGTCCTCCACAATAAGGACATGGGTCATCAAAGTATGAACAACTACCATCCAACCAATTTTCATTATATGATGCCATTTTTCAAAACTATCAAAATAAACAAGAAACAAACAAGAAAAATAGACCAAGGTAAGAAAAATTAATTACACAAATATTCACAAGTTTGGACCAAAGCACTTACGCTTATTTCTCAAACAACCTAAATTACACCAAATTGTTCCCCGACAACGTCGCCAATTTTGATGACGTCCAAATCCACTACTAAAAGGTAAATGGATACGGTCGCATGCAATATAATTTACCCAACTATGAGTCAGGGTTGAATCTCACAGAGAACAATATATAGGCGATTAGGAATGTAAGAGAATTATCACTTGTTATGCAATGTCAAACACTAAGAATTGTTTTGAGAAAATATTTATACCTAAATGGGGAAATGTAAACTAACCTAAAAAGAAAGTAAAATGATCAATGGCTACAAGTATGGATGCATCGGGAATTACACTCACGTATAGATCTAATGTATTTCATGATTTTACAAATATGAGCGAGTTTATGTTAATTAGCCTCAGGTAATATTTCTATATTAACTTCTTCAAAAGACTAACAAAACTTCCTAATTGAATTATCCCTAAGACAATTAAGAGATTAAGCACACCCGATTATGGCTACAAGTAGTTCAATCCTATCCCTAGGTAGAATCTATAAAATGAGGGTTAAAGCCTCAAGTTCTTGTTAATTAATCTTTCCCAACCCCAAATAATCTTTCCTAAAATTAATTCGGAGTTAATGAGCTAGTCCTAGGGTTAGCTAATCCCTTTGGAAAAATTAAAGAACAAGAATAATTAAAATAACAATAAGTCACTTCATAAAAGATAAAAAAATCATTTAATACATAAGCACAATAAGGTATTTAATCCACACTTTAAATATGATTATTTCCATAAACAAGATTCAAGTGTTGAATACAATACTACACACTTAGATATTCAATACAAAACAAGGAATGAAGAAATGAGTACAAAGGAGTAAGAAATTCTTAACCACAATCTTCAAATCTTCAAAACCCAAGTGTAAGTGCATAAACCCTAGCTTCCAACCTTGTTCTATCTAGTCCTAAGACTTAAATAAGCCAAAAGATATTTTACAAATGATCTGGTTTGGGGCCAAAAAATGTGCAATGACATAATTGCCCAGAACTGAAGCACAATTTTCGCATTTGCGAACTATGACCATACTGTTGACCTTCGCATTTGCGATCAAGTCTTTGCATTTGTGAAGGTTGACTGCCTGGTTGACTTCGCATTTGCGAAGTCTTCTTCACATTTGCGAAGTCTTCTTCGCATTTGTGATCACAACATGAATGGTCTTTCTTCGCAATTGCGAGGACCTTCTCGCAATTCCAATCACTGCTTGCTTCGCAATTCCCAAGAATGTGTCGCATTTGCGACAACTGAGGCCCCTTTCCAGATTTTCTTCTTTTTAGCTTCTTTTTGACTCATTTCACTTGGTTTCTTCAAGATCACTTCTAAATCACATAGAACGTGTAATATAGAGGTAAATAACATTAAACACATGATTTTATCACTCAAACACAACAAAATATAGGCTTAAAGACATGATAAGTTGGTAAAATATCAACTTATCAATGAGTCAAGTGAAGGAGCCAAGTGAAGACAATGCAGTGTCTTCCTCATTAGCCAAAGAGGAACCAGGTACCACAATTACAACTACTAAAGCTAAATAAAGAGTGGTTGATGCAATTCAAAGTACTCTACACGTAGCCGAGAGAAGAATGCAAGGGAACCGGTTAGACTTACCCAGCTCCTCTACAAATAAGGCTCAGGTGCCCAAATGGAAACAAAAAAGCTCCCATACTCTTGAAAACATAATTACCCTCTAGATTCAGGAGTGAAAACTAGATCAAAAGCCAGAAATTCACTTGCCTTCTCAGCCTTTCTTTCCTAAATAGAACCCAAAAACATCAAGGAAGCCTTAAAAGATGCAGACTAGATTACAACCATGCAAGATGAGTTGCATCGGTTCAAAAGGAACAATGTATGGCACCTAGTACCTATACCCTCAGATCGATCCATCATAGGAACCAGGAGGGTATTCAGGAATAAGTTTGATGAACATGGAAACACTACAAGGAACAAGGCTAGGCTAGTGGTTCAAAGTTACAATCAGGAGGAAGGAATTGATTATGATGAGACTTTTGCTCCGGTTGTCACATGGTGGCTGTCAGAATCCTAATTGCCTTTGCATCACATATGGAATTCACTCTGTTCAAAATGGATGTCAAAAGTGCATTTCTGAATGGATTTCTTAAGGAAGAAGTCTATGTAAAGCAACTTTCAGGCTTTCAATGTCATGAACACCCTGAATATATGTTTAAATTGGACAAGGCACTGTATGGGTTGAAGCAGGCTCCTCGATCTTGGTATGAAAGACTGTCAAAGTTTCTCTTAGAAAATGGTTTTACAAGAGGAAAAATTAACACCTTGTTTTTGATGAAATGAGGGAGGAACCTGCTCATCAATCAAGTATATGTTGATGATATCATTTTTGTGGCAACAACTGATTCACTATGTGAAGAGTTTGCAAAACTCATGGGAAGTGAGTTTGAAATGAGCATGACAAGTGAGTTGAATTTCTTCTTGGGTCTTCAAGTGAAGCAGTCCACAAAGGGTACATTCATCAACAAGCAGAAGTACATCAAGGAGCTCCTAAAGAGGTTTGATATGGAAGCATCAAAAGTGATTGACACTCCCATTGCCACTGCTACTCGACTGGACATGGATGAATTAGGCTCTCCTGTAAATCAAATCATGTATAGAGGCATTATTGGGTCTCTTCTCTATCTTACTACTAGCAGACCTGATATTGTCTTTAGTGTGGGGCTATGTGCAAGGTTTCAATTAAATCCCAAGAAATCTCATCTAAAGGTTGCCAAGAGAATTTTGAGATATCTTAAGGGGACACAGGACCTAGTCTTGTACTACCCTTCAGGTGATGATTTTAATCTTACTGGGTATGCTGATGCTAACTATGTAGGTTATCTTGTGGATAAGAAAAGTACTTCTAGAATGGATCACTTTGTAGGATCATGTCTCATCTCATGGGGCATAAGAAAACAAAACTCAGTGGCTTTTTCAACAGTTGAAGCAGAAAATGTTGCTGCAGCCTGCTGCTGTGCTCAACTCCTATAGATCAAACAACATTTGGAAGATTTTGGTGTGTACACTGACTGTGTGCCTCTTCTATGTGACAACTCTAGTGAACTCAACATGGCCAAGAACCCGGTTCAACATAAAAGAACCAATCACATTGATCTGAGACATCATTTTCTTAGAGACAATGTGGAGAAAGGGATTATTTGTATGAAGTTCTGCAGTACCGAAGACCAAATTGCATATATCTTCACCAAAGCACTGAGCAGAGAACATTTTGAGAGAAATAGGCTGGAGCTGCGGCTAATAAAGCCTAACTCACTTCAATACGATTGCAGGTAGACACGCATGATGATTATAGAAGTTGTAGATGTACTAGATGAGTGGTAAAAAGAGGATGGAAATTTTTGAAAGACAGGTCAAGAACCTAGTTCTTGTACCACATGTTAGTAGTATTGTGCTTTTTTCATACATATCTTAAAACGATGCAAAAAGTCAAGTACCATGTCATCAACCTTTTCAAACCCTATATGTCACATCTTTTCATTTCATATCCCTTCATCTCCCTCTGAAATGTTGCAACTCCCCACAAAACTACCGCCATTTCAGAATCAGTTTCTCTCTCTCTCTCTCTCTCATAATTATCTCTTCTCCCATTAAAACCCTCTCATCTCTTTGAACGATCATATCTTCTCTTCAGTACTTCTCCAGAACTTTCAAACCTTATCTCTACCATGGCTGAAAATCAACCAATAATTCCCTCCTTAATTGAGAAAACCCCAGAGGAAACCCTTGACTCTTCCGCTTCTAGTGAAACACCTCTTATAATCCCCTTTTCAACCACCACAGCAGAGGACTCTCCCAAACCTGACTCTCCTACACCCTTTATTTCTCCAGTCACTCTCTGAAACCTCTCTCTTCCTCCAAACATTGAGAACTCAGAAACCCCAAAGCATGATAGCCATTCATCTCTATTGCCTGAGATTCTCACTGAACAACGTAAGTTTGGAGAACAGAGTAAAGTTCTGCAGGTAGTAGAGGTCTCAAAGGTTAATATTGATCAGTCTACAGTTGTTCTGCTTTTGATTTTATGGTAACCATGGAGTCTCTGGAGAAAGAGTCCGTAGAAAATATATTGGCCATATCTGCTGATGGAATAGTGTATGAGGTGATCTCTTGTGTGCTCGAGTCTCAGAGGAAAGAGGCACAGTGGTCAGTGGAAAAAGGAGTTGTGGTGCTCTTTGAAAACTCTGCACCAGCAGAAACTACTTGGACCCCTCTTGAAGGACCTGACCCCTCTCCTAAGGAAACATGTCAAGGATCCTCTTCCTAGGTTAGTTTCGACCATGTTCCCTCTCCACACTTTGCTGTTAAGACCTTGGAAATTTTGGCTCCTGGTATGAGGTCGAGTGATGAAGAAGATCAATATAATGTTGCTCTAGATGTGTTCAATGCCAAGAGAAGGGCAGTAAGTATTCCTGAGCCTTCTCCTAAGAGACCTACTACTAGGTTGTAAGCAAATGAGGCTTTTGAGTTTGCCTTGCAAAAGAGTAAAAGGAGTAGTAAGAAGAAGAAGAAGAAGAGGCTGGTAAAAGATGGAGAAGTGGTATGTGACTTGAACATTCTTGTGGTGGAAGTAGATGAAGAAGCAACAGAGGAACCAAGTTCCTTGGTGAAAAGGTCTCAGAAAAAAAAGGGATCTGCTTTAGAGGAAAGTGTTGCTACGACAAGTTCAAAGTCAGTGAAAAGTGGTGAGAAATTGAAACAAGTAGTGGTTGAATAGTCCTTTACTGATGAGGATGTTTTAGTAAAGTAAAGTGGAAACGGAAAATCAAGTGTGAAGTCTGGGAAAAGAAAAGTGGAAACTGTGAGGGAACGCGATTCTCCGAAGAAAGTGAAGCACGAGAGTATGTCTGCTAGGGAAGACTAAGGTACCAAAAGGTTCTGTAGTGTCGTACTTTTGATCCAAAAATCTCTGAAATATCTGGAATGAGACAAATAATAGACATGGTCGAGTTTCAATAGTGGGGCCATCTGTTCAAGGTAGATGTGCCCAAAGTCTATGAGGATGAGGTCCAAAGTTTCTATGCAGACCTCTTTCCTGTTGAAACTGATCACATATGTGCCTTGGTCAATGGAGTTGATATTGTGTTGGATGCTGCTTTGCTTGGGGACATACTTAAGGTCCCTGCTGATGGTATGTCCTATGTCAAAAATGTGTGTGGCTCCAATTTTAGGACTGCTATTATGAAAGAAGGCGTAGTCTAGCGAGGGGAAAGGGTCCACAAGAAAGCTCTTTTCCCCGTTTATCAGCTGTTATTTGAGTTGGCAAACAAGCTTCTTCTACCCCATGTTGAGAGAAGGTCCATCATTCCCAAGTCTGATTTGTACTTGATGGAGGCATTGGATGGGTTCAAAGCTATAAACTTGCCAGCTATCATGATTGAGCACATGCAAAAGGTGGCAAATTTCAAAGATAGTAACCATGGTCTTCCTTATGGACATCTTCTCACGTATGTCTTCAAGTTCTTCGATGTGCCTTTGCGGAAGCCTAAGATAGGGACTAAGAAGCAGACCTTCTCCCACACTACTTTGGAGGAATGTGAATGTGTTGAAAAAGGAGGAGAGGTAGGAAGCACTTCAACAATCTCTCAGCTTATCAATGCCCAGAATAGTGCTACTGAGTAAATTAGGAAGCTGAAGGCAAGGAATGCCATACTGGATATTCAGTAGGCCCAAGGGGCGCCGGGGTCAAATGAGGAGATCGCTCGCCATACCAAAGAAAATACTAATCTCAGGCAACAAGTGGAAAACCTAAAGGAGAAACGGCTCGCAGAGCAAGTGTCGGCCAATGCCCGAATTGATCTCATTCTCAACACCCTTACTACAACCTCTAAGCCCTCTCCTTCTAGTGTCCCCAAGGCTAACCCTTCCAGTGACCAGTTTCTGGATTATCTCTTTTACTTTTTATGACTATGGCAGTTGTTTCTTTTTGTTTTTCTTTGGTAGTGTGGTTGGACTGTACTTGTACTGCTCCCACTGATAACAGTCCAATTTTTGCCGTTGCTGTAATGACAAAGGCTTATGTTTTATAAAAACTATCCTCTTTTCCTATCTATTGCTTATATTTCTCTACTTCTCTTTTCTATCATGTTGTGTGCATATATGTGGCACTAGTTAGCTCGCCTAGACTTCTTTATGCTAATTTCTTGCTTGTGTATTTTTATTGATGCCAAAAGGGGGAAGTATAATTGGAATAGGGATCGGTTTACGGGGGAAGCATAAAGTCAGGGGGAACTTGTGAAGTTCCTGTTACTTCATCTGGTTAATTTTGAACTAAAGATGTGTTATCAATTTCTAATTTTGTCATCATGAAAAAGGGGGAAATTGATGGGCTTACAATACCTTAGCTTTATGTTTTGATGATCTAACAAACTTATTGTCAAAGAACCAGAAAAGGAACCTGACACATTTGGTACACAACTCAAATCAACGGACTCCAGCTAATGTGAGCTGCTACGACTTTAGAAGATAGAGAATCAACACAGGGACCTGATACCCTTGTGTTTCCCTGACAGCAGTACGAAGTCAACTATCTACAGCTAGAAAGTGACTGCCTACATTGTACACAAAAACAGTGCAGCACAGTTCTGCAGTCACTTCTCATTTGACCTACCAAGTGATTATATCATTCAAGTGATGTCATCCATGTTGTGTTAACATTAAACATTACAACAAAACATCACTTGAACACTTGATAATTCATTAAAGCATTCAAGCATCTGACATTCAAGCATTCAATTCTCAAGGGCACCAAGAACAAAGTTTAACACTACTACGGACCAGTTCCTAGAGCTAGTATTTTGTATGTCCTTAGTTGAATTGTAACTTTGTAATTGTTATTGTAATTCCTACTTTTCTTATGTAGAAGCTTTACTTAGGAACCCCTTGCAAAACCATAAACCCTTAGTTTTTGTATTGTGACTAGAGTTAGTCATGAGTTGCAATGTTTTTAATAGATGTATTGCAAAGTGGCTTGTAATAGATGTATTACAAGTTAGTGTGGGATTAGGAGTTTAATTCCTAGATTGCATAGGTTGTAATCTAAAGTTTCTCATACTGAAGTTGAAATCCTACCCGTGTAGGTCGTGATTTTTTGTCCCCTTAAATATGGATTTTTCCACGTAAAAACTCCATGTCTTATTTACTTACTGTTTTATTAGCATTCTCAGTGGAAACTCATAGAGGACCTAGTCTCTATATAGTTTGGTAGAATCATATTTTCTATCACACTCATTCCTCACGATTGCTCAGCACTTGGCATTGGGCACTTAGCACTCGGTACTCGCACTTAGTAGGTACATGCGCTCACTGAGGTTGCGTACAGACTCCGGAGGGGCTCTTGCACCCCAAGCATTATATCAAGCCAATCATGGAAAAATCAATGAAACATGTTATGGTGTGCAGCCCGATCCCGTAAATATCCTCACAATCAGGCCATCGGCCTCACTCAGTTATCAATCTCTCCAATCTCTCGGGCTCTCAGAAATCAGGAAAATCAGCCCAAACAGTAGGAATATGATGCATAAAATAGAATACCAGAGACTGAGATATGATATGCAAGTAAAAATTGCGACTGAGTACAAATAGCATTTAGCAAGAAATTCAACATGCAACGCAACCTTTGTGGGACCTAATAGTACCAACACATAGCCTAAACATGGTTTCTAACATGATTTAAAGTCAATTTCTATAACATATAGAGAGAATATAGCTAACAACAAGTTGTTCAACTTTATAGTTTCCACGGGACGGACCAAGTCACAATCCCCTTAGTGCATGCCCACACGCCTGTCACCTAGCATGTGTGTCACCTCCAAATTAATCACATGATACTAAATCCGGGGTTTCATACCCTCAGGACCAGATTTATAGCTGTTACTAACCTTAATCTAGGCGAGACTTTACTCCAAAATGCTCTTGCCTCGCGAGTCGACCTCCGAACGTCCCGAATCTAGCTACAAGCATTAAAATACAGT